TGAATTAATCTTATTGGATGGCTAAGTATTTATATGTTTTTGAATTGGGTTTGTTAATTTGTAAAAGTTACGAATGAAATATCATTAGTTGTATTTATATATGTAGTGTTGTTGTAAATATTAAAAAATTTGATTATGGTGCGGAACCGAACCGACCTAAACCGAACCGAATGGAACCAAACCCGAATGGTTCCATAATTATATTTGGATCCGACGGGTCCATTTATTAAATAACCGAAAGTTTTGAGTCGGTTCGGACCTCTTCAGAACTTAACCGAACCGATCTACAGACAGCCCTACATATTTAACTATACAGTTATAGGTGATTGGACCCACCATCTTATAATATCAAAAGGTGGTAATTACATCAAACCAGAATTTTTAAAATCCAATTTCAAAAATTAGATATTAATTCAAATATTCAATACTATTAATACCACCAAAAGTCATCACAAACCCTAAATATTCGCCCACCTCATTTCTCACTCTACATCTCTCAATATCCATCCATTTCTCCCTCTCGTGTCAGGCGGTCGACATCCCCTCTCCATACATCTCTCTCTTTTGCACACATCATAGCAGCCAGCATCATGTTCCCAATCGCCGTCTTCATCTCCGGTAAGTAGCGTTAGGGAACTGGGGCCTGAGTTTTCTGAATTTAGCCCCATGTGAGCAATGGAGTCGTTGGATTCCGTGGCGGCATCATGAGTGAGGTTATCGAGGTAGAGGCATTGGTGAATGCTATGATTGCCGTGAGGGAGGTTTCTCTGCCACAAACTCATCTTTCCGTCGCTGCTACGCCCGCCATCGCGCGCATCACCGGTGATGATGGACGTCGCTTTTATCATCTCCAGTTACTCGATGTCGATGTTATCTGTGTGTGGATATGTGGTAGGGGCTTGTTCGATTGGTCGATTGAGATGTTGGATGTTTCGATCGGCTGATCAAGATGTTTGATGTTTTGATTGGCTGTGCGAATTGATGTTGTTGATCGTAGTTTTGAGTTGGCAGGTAGGGAACTTTGTGGATAGAGAGGCTAAGGCTAATTGGTGCTTTTGATTTGAGGGGTCAAAGCTGCAGATCTCTGGTCTGCAATTGTGGTGTTATGGGTTCGATTACTGTGTTGTGGTTGGGTGCATTGGTGGTGCAATGATGTGTGTTGTAGGTGCGGTGTGCTATGTGTTGTGGTGTGGCGGTGTGGTGGTGGCTCTAGCGTTGTGCATTGGTGCTGACAGGTTGTCGTGAGGTAGTGGTGTTTTTATGCGATGTGTTGATTTGTTTGAGATGGTGTTGTTGTCGAGAGCTGGTGGTGGTTCTAGAGGAGACGGTGGCGCTGGTGGTGCCGATGGGAGTGGTGAAGTGGTGGTCACAAATTATTTGGTTGTTTGTGATCATTAAATTGATTAATCTGTGACCGATAAACAATATTCGACCGATAAAAAAGGTAAATTGTGGCCAAAAAAATAAGGTGTAATTGATCATTTATTTGTGATTGTCTAATAAGTTGTGATTTATAATATTTGTAATTTGTGATCTATAAATAATTAGTGATATTTCAATTTTTGATTTGTAATCGATGAACAAATTGTGACCTATAAATTTTTTGAATTGTGTCATTAAAATAATTTGTGATATATAAAATTTGTGATTTGTGACAATGAATAATATGTAACTTATTAATTTTTTAAACTTGTGATCGATAAAAAAATTGTGACCTATAAAATTTTCAATTTGTGATTGTGAAATAATTTGTGACATGTAAAATTTTTTATTGTGATCAAAAAATAATTTGTGACCAATTAATTCGATATTTATGACCAAATTATATAGAATTATGATCTTA